ATGATTCCCTGATTCTACGAAAGTGGAACTCTATATTTACCTGGAAGTAAGCTCCCGTGAGAAGCACGGGCCTCAGCTTCTGAGCAGACACGGGATACGCTCAAATCGTGCAAACTCACAGGTAAAGCCCCGTTAAGCGTCATGAGGCTTACTCCGAAGTAAGTAGGAAGAGGACCGCAACCGAAAAGCGCGTGACACTCGAAGTGGTTCGAGACGGTATTAGCTGCTGAAACCACAACGGGCCTGATCCAGCTGAAAGGGCCTCCTTTGGAAGCGTGCCTGAGCAGGAGAAGCTCCCGTTGCAGCTGATAAATTATGGGGCTGAACTCCACAGGGCCGGTCCTATCCTTAGGCAGAGATGCCTCAGGCAGCAAATTTTGTGTTTGTGGAAAATGGTTAATTATCCCTTGAATTATTCGTGTGTGAATTACTCTGAATTACTCTGTCTGGGTATTTACTGCAGACAGGCGGAGGAGAGGAGTCCGTGGGATTTTCCTCCTAAGAGAGGAACATTTCCTTTCTGAGAGGCAGTGTGGTAGCGGCTGGAGTGTCAGAATTGGACCTGGGAGAGACCAGGGATCGAATTCCCACTGGACCATGGTGCAAGTCACTGGGTGACCTTGGGAGTCAGCTATTGCCTCTCAGCCTAGCCCACCTCACAGGATTGTTGTGGAGATGAAATGAGGAAAGGGGAGAGCAATATATGGCCCCTTGGAGGAAAAGGTGGGATATAAATGCAATATTAAACCTAGAAGAAGATCAAACCTCGCCATTCTTAGGGAAATCAGCCCTGAGTGCTCACTGGAAGGACAGATCCTGAAGCTGAGACTCCAATACTTTGGCCACCTCATGAGAAGAGAAGACTTCCTGGAAAAGACCCTGATGTTGGGAAAGATGGAGGGCACAAGGAGAAGGGGACGACAGAGGACGAGATGGCTGGACAGTGTTCTCGAAGCTACCAGCATGAGTTTGACCAGACTGCGGGAGGCAGTGGAAGACAGGAGGGCCTGGCATGCTCTGGTCCAGGGGGTCACGAAGAGTCGGACACGACTAAACGACTAAACTACAACAAATGCAATATACAAACAAACAAACAAACAAACAAACAAACAAACAAACAAACTTGACTAGTCTTGGGGACTCTTGTCATTCAACACTGGGAAGCAGGGAGACCCGTTGCTGTTTTGCTTCAACATGTCTAGGACAGGAGTCCCAGCTGATCCGCAGTCCACAATATCCTCAAGAAATCTCGGGGGATCTACACGAGGGTTTTGGGGGAGCTGCTCTGGGGCCGGATGAGTCCCTGCAAAATCCCCCTCGCCCAGGTCCCCTCCTCAGCACCCCCCTTTAAAAGGAGCTTATTCTGGGACTCTGAAGAGCTGTTCGCCCATCGGGGTGGCTGGACCGGTTTGCTAACCCGATGCTATCCAAGGCGGTTTCCAATGGCCGGAACGGTTTTTAAATCCCATGACCCGTTTTGAGAGAGGTGTTGGTGCCGGATTAAAACGCTTCCGGGTCCCGCTGGTTTCGATTTCCATGAGGAAATATTTAAGAACATTGCAGAATCCCACCGCTGTCTCGGAACCGTTTTTAAACTTGACTGAACTGAGATACCTTCCTCCTGTTTGGAGGACCAAGCATCTTATCTTTCTATCTATTATTAGTCATTATTTATTTAATGAAATTTATGCACCACTTGATTGTAAGGTAAAGGTAAAGGTACGCCTGCCCATACGGGCCAGTCTTGCCAGACTCTAGGGTTGTGCGCTCATCTCACTCTAGAGGCCGGGAGCCAGCGCTGTCCGCAGACACTTCCAGGTCACGTGGCCAGCGTGACAAGCTGCATCTGGCGAGCCAGCGCAGCACACGGAACGCCGTTTACCTTCCCGCTGGTAAGCGGTCCCTATTTATCTACTTGAACCCGAAGGTGCTTTCGAACTGCTAGGTTGGCAGGCGCTGGGACCGAACGGCGGGAGCGCACCCCGCTGCGGGGATTCGAACCGCCAACCTTTCGATCGGCAAGTCCTAGGCGCTGAGGCTTTAACCCACAGCACCACCCGTGTCCCCCCACTTGACTGTAACAAGCCTAAAAGCGGTTTACAGAAAGGATAAAACAATAAAATTGTAACTAAGAAAAAATAACGACAATAATTCAAAACTATTGGAAATTTAGAATGATAGTGGACTTGAAAGATTAAAACTCCCCCCCTCTCTCTCTGCTAAACATTACTTAAGGGTCCAGATCCCAAATAAAATATGTTCAAACCCCAACAACATCACGTCATTTTTGGGTAGGTGGGTCATTTTCCCTGAGTCTGACCCTCAGATTTAGACACTTTTGAATTTCTTTTTGGCATTTGATAAGATTCACTGGCTGTTTTTATGCACACCAGACCCAAATGCCACATATTCTCTCTCAGTTTAGAGAGGCAAATCTAAGCGATTAAGAGATGTGATTTGGTAAACCGCATTTTGGGGGGTTAACTGATACAGGTCTTGTCATATGAAAGAATTAACATGTGCGTGTTCTGATGGCAGCAGTTCAGGCCACAATGAAGGTTTCCTCTCATTTTATAAATCAGAAGTTCCCAAAGTGGAGGTACTATGGGATGTGAAACACAGAGCAGAGAAGTACAACGTTCCTAGAGTAGACATGCAAGGGGATGCTTTGTACCAGCCAGTAGCAAACTTCCTGTTTCCTCCTGCGATGGGACAAGACTTCCTCTGCATGTGACTAGAGGTGGGCGTGACCTTACCTGTGCAGGTAACAAAACCAAAAGGCGCACAGCCCCACTCCTCTTTCCTCTCTCTTCTCCATCTTGCTTTTGTCAAAGAAGCAACAGCTCTTCAGCTGGAGATGTCCTGTCGGTTTCCAGCCAAGAGAGGACAAAGGGACTATCTCCTTATGGGATAGATTCCACGTGTAGATATTTTGTAACCTAAGTCTGCCTTCAGGGATCCAATTGTGAACTGATGAACTGATCCGTTTTACTTTCAATGGACTCCGTTTTACTTTCTGTTTACTTTCAGCTGTCCATGGAGGAGCAGATCAGTTCTGTGTCCAGGGCAGCTGTCTACCAGCTCCATCTGGTATGCAGGCTGAGACCCTATCTGCCTGCGGACTGTCTCTCCAGAGTGGTGCATGCTCTGGTTATCTCCCGCTTGGACTACTGCAATTCACTCCACGTGGGGCTACCTTTGAAGGTGACCCGGAAAATACAATTAATCCAGAATGCGGCAGCTAGACTGGTGACTGGGAGCGGCCGCTGAGACCACATCACACCGGTCTTGAAAGACCTACATTGGCTCCCAGTACGTTTCCGAGCACAATTCAAAGTGTTGGTGCTGACCTTGAAAGCCCTAAACAGCCTCGGTCCAGTATATCTGAAGGAGCGTCTCCACCCCCATCATTCTGCCCGGACACTGAGGTCCAGCACTGAGGGCCTTCTGGCGGTTCCCTCACTGCGAGAAGCTAAGGGCACAGGGAGCCAGGCAGAGGGCCTTCTCGGTAGTGGCAGCCTCCTGTGGAACGCCCTCCCACCAGATGTCAAAGAGAACAACTACTACCAGACTTTTAGAAGATATCTGAAGGCAGCCCTGTTTAGGGAAGCTTTTAATGTTTGATGTATTACAGTATTTTAATATTTTTTTGGAAGCCGCCCAGAGTGGCTGGGGAAGCCCAGCCAGATGGGCGGGGTATAAATAATAAATGATGATGATGATGATGATTCCCTTGCCTCTTAGCCCCCCCTAGGGAATACCTCCAGGGGGCAGTACCTGTGGGAATGTTCAGGGAGACAGGAGAGGATATATTGATTAATAATATCCTTCCTAATTTGCGCTAGTTCTGTTTCTTAGCAGAGTTTTAAACATTCCCCTTTAAATGCACAGCGGTTTGCTTGTTGCAAGCTCATTTGAGCTTCTAAA